AAACGGGTGCCTGGACAAAAACTATTGAAATTTAACTTAAACTTAGTAATGGCATGTACACACCCGACATAAAAAATACAAGGCTTCCTTTAATTTGTACGTTCAGGCGTTCTTCAGACGTTGTATTGTATCCCATCTGTTCGAACATATCTTTTCACTAATCATATTCTTCTCATCCCTGTAAAAAAACCGATCCTATACTTTACGTGTCGGACATCTGAGGAAAGTATCGCGGCGTGGCCAAAAATAGGGCGTGCTGAGGCCTTTGTCAAAATTGTTGGACTGACTATATTTCTTGTAAAAATCGGATGCTTTTATATTGTTCCCAACATATATATTATAACAAGTATCACTTTTATCAACTTTTAATCAACACAATAATAATCAAAGTATTAGTAAATAATGAATAATGTTACAAAAAGATTATTAGTATAAAGAAACATGACAGACTAACTGGTCTATACACGTCATTTAAAACTTATTTAACACATGATATTGCACAGTTTACAATAGGGTGGGTTTTGGACTTGTTGTTTCTCCATATGATGGTTGTATGTGTGCTTAAGAAAAAGAAACACCCTGTTAACACGGAAATGTGGAAAGTGTGATTTTACATCCCCCCCCCCTCCACAAAAAAGCGAAGGATATGTTCAGTATGTGTGGACAATTTGACCCTATAAAATTGTTCTGTTAAATAAATGTTAAAGGTGCTCTGTCAATGTGCAACAACTACACACGAAAGAAAGTATCTTGAATTCAATCCTTGCTTTCACCGGCAACCAATGAAAGTCGTGCAATGTAAGTCGAAATTTCGAGTTAGTAACTCGAAATTTCGAGTTAATAAAAAACATACACCTGGCACTAATGCTCTTCCGTACAATGTAGATGCTCCGAACTTAAATTATCTAAATGAATACTAGTATTACTGTACTGAAGAAAAATGTCCATTCTGCAATATCATTTAAAGTAACTCTACATATTGTAATATTTTGACTCCAAGAATTTAGGTGTCTAATTTAAAGATTTTTGTTTGAATAATGACTGCTGTTACTTTTTCTTTAGAAAAGGAATTAAATATGAAAGTGCATTTCGTTGGACACAGTCAAGTATCTGAAACGTCATTGTTTGCTGTTCGCACCTAGCTGCTGTCATGGTACCATCCGATATATTTCTTGTATTGGACACTGCATAAAATATATCCTGTACCAGACAATGTATGTATGTAGTCTATGTTTAATGAGGGTCCATCCGCCCATAAAAGGTACACAAAGCAGCTTCGTTGTCGAGTACGAACCCCGGACATGTGACCAGTCATGCCCTTAGAGGGTTAAATATTCTAGTAATTTAGAGCTTATGAATTGTAACCTTTAAGAATAAGTTATTCGAAACATATCTAAAATGCACTGAAATCGCCTGTGTAGTGCAAAAAGCAAAACTGGCTAGCAATTTGGCACAAGACACGCAAACCAATCAGTGAAAAAAATATTTTGTCACGTCTTATGGTTCCTGAAACATATTCTGCATATAGGGTAAAATCTATATATATTTGGACTCACGCACAATTTAGGGACTCATTTTGGACTCACTTGGCAGCTGTGTGCATATCCAAATATATTCATTTATTTCACAATACGGTGTTAAATAAGCAATTTGTGCAAGTTGAAGTCTTGATAAATATATCATCTCAGAATATACAATATTTTTGTTTAGCTTTTTACAATAAACAATAAATTATATCTCTTTTAGATTTGTTTTTTCATTTTACTCTTATTTCTGTGTCTGAGAATAGATACTAGGTTATCAACTATCAACTTCGTAGTGGCAAAAAGAGAAAACCCGCAATGAAAACAAATGTTTTTGGTGGGTGACGAGCGGAACTTTATGCCTCATCACTAAGTAAATAATCATAAAAAAGAGACGGCCAATTATTAACGTGCTTTCATGGTAGAATAAGTTTCAGAAAGGCGTAAATTGACATCTCTGTTTTCGTAAGTTTCTGCTTGGAAATATCGTGATATGTTTTCGTAATGTGCAAGTAAAGTGTATCATTATTTTTTCTTTTTTTTCTGTAAATCTTATTAAAAAGATAATGAGTTTCGATACTGCACGTGTGTTTTAACTGTCACGTGTCTAAAAAACGCCTAATTTACCCGACTTCCGGTCCGGATATGTAAGCGAATTACATGTAGTATAACATCGGGGAGATTTGGACTATGAGTTAACTTAAGTATTATAATAGAAAATATAGCAAACGTTCTAATATTATTTCATTTTTTTTTTCTTTTAAAGGCACATAATGCCTCAGAAATTATTAATTTCTACATTCTGTAGAGAGGGCAAAATGCGTTTTATAATATTGTTAAAGGGAATTTAGAACATGAGAGATGTTTATCACGTGAAAAGAATGCAGAATATGAAATAATTTGTGATAAAGAATGCAAAATGTAAACAAAATAGTATTTTGACTTCCATACAAAATACTAAATCACTATAATTGGCAAAACGCAAAGGAAGCAAAAGATAATTCAGCTTTACGGTCAATGAGTATATAAAAGAACAACAAAAATAAAAATCTTTTGAAAAAATAACAATGGTTGCAGTTCTGAGGCTAAATGGGCCTTTAATAACTTTTTATATAATGCGAAAAGTTATTTGAATGATCTTTACATAATTTGGTTTTATATACTGATGTATAAATCAATTTAAATCAAACAGGAAAATATACTTTGAAAAATTTTAAGAACTGCTATATTTACTTATATAGATTATTAACAATATAAACGGACAAGAAAGAGGTTTGTATTCCAAAATTAAAATATATGTTTCCTAAAATCTAGAAATAAAAACTCATTTGGGGCCTGTTAAATCATTGATTCAAGCACAAATTAAAGTCGAAAAAGAATATACATTTTAATTTGTATTTCATTTGGGGACGTTGAAGTGTTGATAAAATTATGATCAACATAAAATATATATGGAAATGTATATTTGTAATGGCAAGTGAAAATTATCGACTTTTTTAATATGAAATAGATAGATACTTTTTATTCCTCCAATATTGAAGAGCAAAACATATTTACAAAACCGAACAAACAATAAAAGAGCATGACATATGTACGATAAATTACAAAATATGATGTCAAAGCAAATATCATTTGTTAAACAATCATTTCAGTTGGAATAGATATATGGAGATATGCTGATATCTACATTTATCTTAAAGGATGACATAAATTGTATATAACAGGCTTCATTTATATAAAAACCACATCGTATTTGTATTAACCCTGCAAAGTTAAAACCTATGGAAATACATGTAGATTACTTCAATAATTACTGATATCTGATCAAACGTTAGAGCGATGGGAGACTTTTTCATATGCGGGCTGGTAAAATGATATATCAACATGCAATATATAGAACATATATAAAATATGATAAAAATTATTGATATAGATTCAAATTTAAGACAAACGAGAAAATAATTTGTGTTTTATCCGGGGACAAAAAATCGTTAATAAATATTCATTACGAAAAACTATGTAAAATAATATTATTTGATGCTCGAGGTGGTAAAATTATTGATATGCTACCGAAGTGTAACTCTAAGATTTGGTAAAAATGCAGATGAACAGTTTCGATATCTATGGAGACTATGGTTCCGTATTATATAGGGGATGATACCTTTTTCTTTCTTTTTTATTCGACATAAAATCTATCAAAGAATAATAATACGTACTTTGATTCAGGGCGTGTATTCAATGTGAGATTCTATCCATGAAACAGTATTCAATTGATAAAAAAATATTCTTTAAAACAAGAGCTTGTAAAATTATTGATTTGTATTCAAAGTTAAATCTGTAGCAGAAATAGTATTCTATGATAAAGGGGCACTTAAATTATTGATTTGTATTCAATGTAAAATATAAGAAAGTAGTATTCTTTGATAAAGGAGCTGACGAAATAATTGATTTGTATTCAATGTAAAATGTTAGGAAATAGTATTCTTTTATAGAAGGGGCTGGTAAAATTATTGATTTATTTTCAACGTAAAACCCATGGAGGAAACTGTTCTTTGATAGAGATTATTAATTCATATACAATGTTAAATCTATGAAGTAAATAGTATTTCTTTGATGAAAGGAGCTGTTGAATATAATTGATTTATAATTCACGTAAAATCTATGGAGGAAAAAGTATTCCTCGATATAGGGGCTGGTAAATTTTGTACTTTGTATTCAATGTAAAATATATCAAGGAATGATTATGGCATGTAATTATTTTTATTTAACATGAAACATGTGGAATTAGATTGATTTGATATCAGAATTGAATTAAAATTGAATTCAACCTAACGTCGAGCAAGGAAAAAATTTGTATTTTGTAAGGGGCTTTTGGATTATTGATAGATATTCAGCTCAAAACTGATTCAGAAAACTTAAAATTTAGGGAGGAAATAATAAGATTTGTTTACCTTGATAAATTATATAATTATAATATAATAACGTAAAATTGGTGTGTTTCTTTTAAACACAAATAATATGGTATATTGAATAACTGTTTTAAATAATTGGATTTGTTAATGCCTTTATTATAATAAATATTTGCTTAACTAAAACGACCGTTAACAGAGCTTTACTATTCAGAATATTTTAACAAGCAATATTGTAAGAAAACTCATCTTTACTCCAACGTTTATGTATTTATATTATATATATATCTTTGTTGTATCTATATGATATGTAGGCGTGACTTACCAGCCCCCCTGTTTACTCCTCTTACGCCCATACACTTAGTATAACTCGGCAATTCAACATATGATTTTGATTCTTAAAGTCATGACCTCCCATATATTTACAATACATTGCGAATTATCTGCAGATGGTACCCGAGAAATCTGCGCTCATCAGCGCGGGACGTCTCGTCAAAATTACCGGTAGGCGGAGATAAACATTTCGAGGAAATATGACTCCGGCTTTGATTGGATGTTAACAGAGATCAAAAACTCGTTGCTGCTGATGAGGAAGGCCTACCAGAGTCGTCAAAATCTTAACAGAGACTTGATAAGTGTGTGTTTATCCTATTTTCTGTGATTTTTATTCGGATTTTCTCTCGGTGTGCCGCAGGGACACATGTTGACACAGCGTTTCTCTTACGATACAAGGCACGGGACTTATCAGCTCAATGCTTGAAGCCAATTATTTTGACTAGTGGGACTTCAGGAGGCTTAAATTATTTCTTAAGTTTCAATTCATCTTTCAACTAACGTTCGGGCGTAGTTTATTACATACGAACACGTGGGAGAGAAAAATTGTGTTTTGTTTTTATTTTGATGATAACTGGGTATGATATGTCATTAGAAAGTTTTTTCTCACAAAACAAATTCTTATCTCTAGTCAGGGAGTTAATTTGCAGACATCAGACTCTGTTTCCAACAAACAATGATTTAAACAATGCTTTAAGATAAGCGCTTACATTACATGTGAAGTTGGCGTTGTTCTCTGGTCTTTGGAAATTAGCAGACGACACTCTTGCAAAATGATGATGACTGCAGATTACAGAAGTTGTAGGTTCGATCATAATGTGGCCGGACAGTTTAGTGGAGGCTCGAATCCGGAAATGTTCGATAACAGATACCTATCGGAATTATCTTCTTACACCGGGACAACAGGGGCTCGAGACTATTTTACAGCATCCGCTGTGCCGTACCAGAGATATCCGGGCAGGGCATATTCGGAACACTATCAGTTTCCAGGAAACACTTCAAGTTCGTCTTCTTCAAATTTCTACAACAATTCAAGTCCGGATTATGAACGAAGTAAAGGCAGATCTCACAGTGGGGATAAGACGCAGCAGGCGAACACAAAGTCTGTCAAAGACGAAAAAGATGAAAAATCGACAACAATAAAAACAACTGAGTCAAAGGACTCTAAGTGCAGTGACGATTTAGTGGACAACGAAGATCATATCATGGATTTAAAACATAATAGTCCTATGTCATCTTGTGGAGGATCTCTTAAAGACGAAATTTCGGACAAAAGTGGAGATGACATTAATTCCGCAGACGACAATGAAGAACATCTCACGCACGTGCTCGCTCCGGGTTACCATGGTGAAAATAGACGCTGTTTATTATGGGCTTGTAAAGCTTGTAAAAGAAAAAGTGTTCAAATTGACAGAAGGAAAGCCGCAACAATGCGGGAACGCCGGCGTCTGCGAAAAGTCAACGAGGCGTTTGAGGTGTTAAAGAAACGAACATGCCCAAATCCTAACCAAAGACTTCCAAAAGTAGAAATTTTGCGGAACGCCATCGAGTATATTGAAAGTTTAGAAGACATGCTTCATGGGAACAGAATAGTACGAGCAGACGACCATTGTAATGACACAAATTCTACAAATGGTTCTGACTATATGGTAAATATATTAAAAAAAAATCTGTTTATTGTTTTATATATTGCTGTCATCATAATTTGCACGGTTAATTGTTTACATGAAATGCAACCATTTCCTAAGAAAAGAGGGCGGTGAAATGCATGAATTGGGGAAGTAATTCTTTTACAAATTCTATGTATCATTTATTACCGACGTGTTGATGATAAAGTAATCATTATTTCGTATTTGTTTTGTCTTATGACTTATTTATTGGCATTCCTAAATAATTGTAAGTGCATTCTATTATTTATCTACTCGTAAACAACGGCATATATCCTCAGTCTTGAATCAGTTTCGAGGGAAAAGGGACAAAATATCTTTTAAAACTGCCAAGCCGTTTAAACGTACGGTAATTTTAGACACTTTAATAAAATTTACACCGCATACATTCGTAAATTTAACAGAGTTAACATATCAACTTGCAGGCTTATCGTACGTCTGTTTCATATTTTACCCCCAGCATCAAACTAAAGCCCAGTAATTGTGTATTCTTTTCCTTGGAAATTATTCTCTTTTTGACACTGTAAAACATATATAATTTCCATGATAACCTCCCATAAATATAACATTACTGTAGATACTGTTATCTCTATGATGAGGAGTCTGAACTAAGTCAAACATTGGGGGGAGAAATCTTGTTCAAATCTTAGAAATTAATGGGAGAAGTACACCGAAGTAGTAATGTACACGACCCTAACTGAGAATACATGATGTGAAAACGACCAAAGCGAGTATATGCTTAAATTGGGTTAAAATATAACGTTAAAATTTAAAAAATATTTTTGGAGGGTTTAGAAGAGTATTATTAAGTTTGTTTTATAGAATTTAAGCCAACAGCTTAAAGGTGTGATTGAATGGCTATCTATAAATACGTTATCATCGATTTGTCAATATTAATTATGGCTCTTGCCATATAAAAAGATTAATTTATAGACAAAATCGAACAAAATCGAAAAAAAAGTTCCGAATTCTGATTTAGCCTTCTTTGGATTAAAAGATCTGATTAACACATGTATCATGGAAATGACGAATTATCGTGAAAACTAGGTTCGTATAAACTGTTTAACGAATTACGACTGTAACATAGAAACAATTATGGATAATAAACCTTAATCTCGTCTTACGGGGGCACACACCTCTTTTTAGAACTCTAAGACTTTTCGCCGTGGGCCTAAATTACTCATTAAAATTTCTGAATAATTATTCCGAATCGTAATGAAACAATTATATAAGTTCCTTTCTCACAAACGCAAATATGTTACGACCACATTACAACACTGTTTCATTTCGAAGTTTTTAATAAGATCTGGAATTTATTTTCTCCTTGCTTAAAGAGTACTCGAGCTTTTCTGTGAGAAATGCTAGAGATTCCGTGGAAACGAGAGAATTATTAATTCTCATGTGTCAAAACATAGCTTATGACAGTTACTGAAAATACCCTCAACTCTAGTTAACCGCGACTTTACCAACATGTGCTTATAATTTAATGTTTATACACCGACACACAAAATACATTTACGAGGGCTGTTTACTCTTAGATTTTTCATATGCTTTCAAGATGTTTCTATGACCCTTAAATGATTTCCGAAATAACCAGCGACATTTATGGTGTCTCTGAGATGATTTTCATATTAACAAGGTGTTAACAAAGACCTTGAAACAACTCTCTGTTTTCAAACAAGCACCCCCCCCCCAATCCTCACCCCAACCCCTAGCAAACTCTCTTGTTAGCCACAATCTCTTTGGTATGGTCATTGCTATAACCTTTATATAATTTTCGACTTTACGTTTTAGTAGGCTTAGATTTTATACCAAGACAAACAGTTACTCTAAAGCCATTTGAATTATACTCTAAGAATAAATCAGAAGTCGCATTAATGTGCTTTGTTGTATATTTTTTTCCTTTTATCAGTGCCTGCATAGCCTCTTATACTGAAATATTAGCGCCAAACGATTCTGCGAAGAAGAGGTAGCAGAATCGTTGTCGTAATTGAGCTCTGTTTTATTTTGCTCAACAAGATATTACGTCAGATTATCCGCTAATTATGATGTCAAAATAATTAGCTGGCGTACGTCATTATTGTAGAACATTATTAACTTTCGATGCGCTGATCAACGTCATTACAATGCAATCATGTTACCGCGATTCTAAACAAACCCCTAATTCCTCGACAGCACTTATCAGCAGGGGTTTGTGATTTTAGGGGCCGTCACTTGACCATAGGTCATTTAGACGGCGATAGTCTCATTTAGAAGATATTTATATGAAAGTATGGGCGGTATCTTTCCCTCAAGGGCATCATTTATCACTATAAAATCTCATCACGTGGTATTTTCCTTCATTTGTCCAATTTGATAGGTTAATTTGGTAGTTGATTGCAATAGTTTATCTTTAATCACCATCTTTAAGAACTTAAAGACTTAAACTACTTACACTGAGTTCTACTTGTGTAATATATTTATATAATTATTTCATTGATTATTATTTATATTTTAGCTCTCCAAAAATATTTATACCTATTTTTTCAACTTATACTTATTTGTTGAATAGAATATTCTTAATTATTATGAACGAATTTTAGAAAATTTAAAAACTGTACGAGTTTTACAATTCGTGACTGGAAATGCTTTACAATTCATAGCTGGAAATGCATGAGCTATACACATTTTAAGTTAGATTGGTGAATCTTTTCTGTTAGATGTATTGTTTTGGAGACGTTTTTCGATACAGGTCGCCGTGTCATAGAGGTATATAAATGACATTTTGACTATGGCTACTTTACCTCGTTCTATTAGGCATTTTGATGTAGAATTATTTTTTTATATTTGTTACGGTATTAATAATAATCATATCAAATTTTGTCGATGTTAAAATATAAAACAAAAATGTATTATCTGTTCTGGTGATGTCAGCAATAATGTAAAGAAAAATAATACAATTAAATTTTCTAATGTACATATTGAACTATCTATATCAAGAACAGTTAAGTAAAAAACATTGCATTAATTGTTGCTTTTTTCTCTCTCAAAAGAACAGAACATACCATATTGAATCGCAATAAGTGAAAATTGGATATGCCATTTTCACAATGACATCATGGGTGACTTTGAATTTTTACACTTTTTAAACTTTAGTCATTTTGAAAATACATTTGTACATATATATGTGTAGCTTAATGTTTACATTAAAATATAATACTGTAGATATATTTCTAATTGGGAGAGTGTTGGGATAAAAAAACAAATTCAAATAACTTCAATGCAGTTAGATAATTTAGAACAATTAACGGTTAATATGTAGTTAACTATCCTATAAATCATTATTATTATTATTATATTTTCAAAATAAAGGTGTTGACAGTTAACAATAGATTAAGGGGAACTTCTGTTACTAATTTGATTATTTTGTTCATATTTCGGCATTTGTATACATTTTCCATTTGTTTGTATGTATGTAATAATACACTATATTTACCATAGTAATCACATTGTTCTATTCTGGCGAAACAGGAGCTCCGAGGAGCTCTCCAATTTAACCTTATCTCGTAGAGGGTGAACAGATAACGTTCCTAGATGAGATGTGATTCGTGTTGACGCCTTGTGATGATTACGATTAGGTGAATATCACGGTCAGTGGGTGGGTTCCATAATTATGGTTGTCATTTTGTAAATTTGGCCGCCTTTTTATATAAATGTCTTAAGATAAAAGACACAAAATAATATTTTCTGGAGAATGTCTTATCAGCGAAATTATCAATGTGACACGTCTGAAATCTTGGGGGTGATGATGGAATAGCTACTGAAATAAATTAATAAAAAAGCTGTATATTATAAAAGTAGTAAAACCCAATCATTTATTAAAAAGCCCAACAATTAATGTAACTTTTTATTGGTTTTTGATGTTTGAAATAAATTTTTTCTCCAATAGAATTACAGCACATGTATTTCAAATTAATCATAACACATTTATTCTAGTGAATCGGCTAAATTTAATCAGTCTAGTAAATCGACAGTTTCATGAAAATAATTTCAAACACTAAATTGAACCGTTCTTGACCAATTTAATTTTGTAAATGCTTACTTATAAACACTGACATATACACAATGTAAAAATTAATTAAACTACATTTCTCGTATTAGGTATAAAAAAACACTCCATCCTCATGTTGTGTTTTAATGTAAAAACAATAAAATTACAATTACTTTGTATAATATAATTACGAATAAGATAGAAAAAAATACATGATCATCTTTAAAATCTTCTTTATACCGTAACAGTCATTATTAAGTATCTAAAAATAGAATTGTCATTCATTAATTATCTTTGGACATCAGTACAAATATCTCCTTTATGTTTGGTCAAGATTATGTTTGTTCATAAAATATTATATATTCATTTACATCATAGAGCTATATATTCTGTATATAAGTCTCAGTTTTCATGAAGAAAAAATAATCAGGAAATGTACGAACACGTTACAAACATTGTACTTATTCAAAGCACATACAAGAGAGAAGTTCTTTAAGACTTGAAGTACATCGACAAATAACATAATTTTGTAAATGTTTAGCATAGACTTGTATAATTTACTCTAGCCATCAAGCATTTATTAAAAAACAATAACACTGTCTCTTGAAAATGTATTAGTTGCTTTGATGGTTCGCGGTAAACATTGCCATGGCATTTTGCTTTCCTTTCATTTATTCTTCTCTTCCCCCTGAATTGAATCATAATGAAGAGCCACTGTTGACAGGCTATCAAAATAGCATGTACTTCAAAAGGTATATTCCACTTATACGTTCGCTTACCGTACCCACTGATTGAGATTTAATGGGCATGAATCAAGTTTGTCTACATCGAGATCCATGGGGGTGCTTGATTAGATAATATAATAACAGTTCTGTATACATGTATATATTATAATAGAACTAGTGATGAATATTGTCGATTATCTAAAAGACGTATGAAAAAAAACAATGTTTCTATTTTCAGTCATAAATTTATTATCATTATTGTCATCATTAAATACAAGTAGATTAAATATGATTGATTGATTGATTGATTGATTGATTGATTGATTGATTGATTGATTGATTGATTGTCCTTTTTCATCCATAGGGAAATATTTAAGTTGAACGTGGATGGAGCAAATAGCAATCCATAGCAGAGAAAGTTCATCAATGATTTTATTATTTGTTTGTTTATTTATTTGTTTATTTATTTATTTATTTATTTATTTATTTATTTATTTATTTATTTATTTATTTATTTATTTATTTATTTATTTATATATTTATTTAATTATTAACTCTAAAATTTATCGCACATATGTTACCTTTAAAACTCGAAATCAAATTATCCTAAAACAGTAAATATAATGATGGCCTTTCAAAATACTGCACTATATACTGTAATTAATCATTTAATAGCCAAATGTGGTGAATCTTTGAGGAACTTCACATGACTTATCATGAAATAAATGACTTGTATTCAGATCTTTCCCAAATAAGAAATATGACAAATATTGTTTATACATTATATTAAATTTAATACATTATATTTCTCGTTCTTCTCGCCAGCTGCTTCGGTTTCCCTGTATTTCTTAAAAAATATACATTCATATAGACATATTTAGAAGACATGCATGTTAAGAATATAATAAAAATGTTATGGTTACACTTTTTATTTTAATATATAGAGGATACTGAATGAGTGTATAGTGCAATATCGTTTCTATTAACTGGGTTTATGTGATAAATTTCTTTACTTTGGTTCAATGTTTAAAAAATCATCTTAATATCAATATCGTAAAATTCTAGCATTTTTATATTGGCAACATGAACATTATTGATGGCATTTGAACAAATGATGAGTAATAAGCTTAAAATAGTTATAACCGCAAGCTTGCGTCTTACTTGATACTTAAAATATTTCGCATTAAAAACGGAACCGATCAGAGCTGAACTTTTTTTGTTTTTGATTTGCACATAGAACATCATCATAGGAAACATAATATTCAAGTAATATGTACATGTCCGAGGAACCAATCAATGCAATAATTGCTTGTAATCAATCACAACTTGATAATTATTAAAAAGCGTCAGTTAAATAAGGGTCAACATGTTTTTAAAAATTTTGGCCAAATCTTCATTTTGATCTTTTATTGAACATTATTTAACATTAAAATTTTAATAGTCAAGACTTTTATGTAATAAACTGCTAACTGACGTCTATTGTGCCTTTCAAGAAATACCATAATATTATCGTTTAACATGGACAGACATGAATAAAATGAAATTCATCTTCTATGTCTCTTCTAGAACATCATTGACAAAACGGCTCATTTCTTTGTATTCAATTTATAACACGTCTATCATTGCATTGCAGATGCAGCGGGAAGAGAAAAAAATAAAATAAAAGTAAAAAGATTGTCCATCCTCTATCATGAATATTTTTCTTAACTCAACTGGAATGTCTTATTATTGCCGGAATAAAATTTTGTGTTCACTTAATTTTGGAATAGTTCTTAGCGTCAACACGTCAAGAACCGTTAACATCAATAAAACACGGTAAAGATCTGTTAATGAACCACTTTTAAATGTTTGTTTATAGCGTTCTTCACAGAGACCCAACATATAACTCGACATGCATCTTGTCTCCACTAAGGCACTGAAACAGTTTAAGGCATTCCATCAAAGCTTTGATCATGAATTAACTGGAGAGAATAAAAGCATTTAACGACCTTTGACCTGAAAGTGAAAATTAAATTTTTAACGGAAACTCTGTGGAATGAAAACAAACGAGACGGTCATAAATAACACAGGATTCTTCACCATTTTTCAAAACTTTTACTTCATTTCGTCGCTTAGGACTTAACACAACATTTCACATTTCACAATTTTGCAGCCGAAAATTTAATTAGATGAACATCTTTCAAATTATGTTAAAATCATTACGGACTGGTTGCAGTTCTTTTTGATGTAGACGATAATGAGTTTTCAGTGAGAAACGAAACCAGTCTAAGAGCATCTAGACGCTTTATTTGATGATAATCTTAGACGCTTTATTTCATCATAATTAGTGCCGAATCTTTGTTGTTTTTGCAGACATTTCTGTATTTCTGTTGTGTGTAAAACATAAAAATAATGAATTTTATTGCAATAATAATCCGTAGTAATAAGCAAGTACTTGTTTAAAACACACTTCGTCTCTTTCTACCCCACGTTTCTTCTGGAACATTTACCAGTTACAATTTGTTACACACATAGTCTGTATAAAGATAAAAAACACTTAGTCTTTAATTATGACATCACAGAATAAAGGGATCACGAAAATTAAATAAAAAATGGTATTAAAAACTTTGAATTGTCCTCATCAACGCCTGGCTCCTTGATGTAGACATTTTCACTATACCACTTTAAAATTTGCTTTTTAACTTCATTAGAACTTTTCGTTAATTTATTACCTTTTCGTGTTTCAGACAGTGAACAGTCCACATTTTTATCCGGATAAACTTCATCATATGGCGGATATGACCAATGGTTACCAAACACATCCAAATGGTATGTATATATTTATTTGTCTAACCATAACACAACACGATGATAGTGATGATGACGATCACGATGATGATGATGATGATGATGATGATGATGATGATGATGATGATGATGATGATGATGATGATGATGACAAATATGTTAACGTTGAGAACAACAACAACAACAACAACAAAAATAAAATAGGTTCATATAGATTAAAATACATATTTACATATTTATAACTACCAAATATGCATATGCTTTTGAAGATATCACTTTCGCCACATCGATTCGTGTTAAATTAACCATGAAAAACGGATTTCATACTCCCGCTGCACTCATTTCCCTTTTAAAAAGTTTTGTCCATCTCAAACATAAGACAAAGTTCTCGTCCTCCTAGATTCCTATTACTGTTTCTGCTACCTTTTTCCAATTTTCTTCTTCTTCTTTTCTTTCTTCTTGATTTGCCCTTTTATTTCTTCTTCTTCTTCATCTTCATCATCGTCTTTTGATTCTTCTAGTTATTCTTTTTCTTTCTTCTTCAGTATTTTTGTCTTCTTTTTCTCCTTTTTTCATTTCTTTTTTTCGTTTTCGTCTTACATATTCTTTTTTTCCATTGTTCTTCTCCTTTCCATATTTTTTTCCAGACTTTTCTTTTTCCTTTTTTTCTTTCACATCACTTGTATTAATGCATAACTGTTTTTTACTGTTCACGAAACGGTATCAACTAGAAAATTAACAAAATATTCTTAAGTTTTACCATCGAAGTAGAAAAAAATTAAATAATATATCAACGAATAAGAAAACGCGCTTGATAAATTATTTTCAAGAAAAAAATCCCCCCTTAGTGGTATAATTATTACATCAACAGGGGTTGAAAACGAGCAATCAAGAATTTTTGCATGTTTCTAATTGAATGTAATATGATCCCAGTGGAAACTGGAGAGTTAATAATGGGGAAATGAACTCTACTCTAGAGAATCAAAAGAATTTCAAGTGTATTTCCGGGTTTTCGAAGGTACCATGGCAATTTTATTATCTTATGTATGACGATACGCGCTCTCTAAAGTTTTTGGTATTTGTTATGTCACGGTACATGGCTGTTATCTCTGGGCAATCTATTATTACCAGAAGTTGTAGCACAGTAATGTAAGATAATTTTTTAAAACTATAATTTACTTGTCATAAATGAATTTAGTTATATATTCGTTCGTTTTTTATCTAACTTGAGGTTTAGGTTATATGAAATAAAATTGCAAACTCACACCTTAAAACGAATTTGACGTTCGAAAGAATCAAACGTTGACACTATTTATTATTTTTAAAGTTTGATCTTCCTCACCAACAAATAGAGGATATTTGTTTAGTTCAGTGTAAGATCTGAATATATTTCACGGAGTGAGCACCAAAAGGTATATTTCACGAGTGGCGCAGCCACGAGTGAAATTTGAACTTTTGGTGTTCACAAGGTGAAATATATTTCAATCTTACACTAAACTAAACAAATTTTCTTTTTATTACATGCACAGAAACGTTTTAAAAAGAAATTAAACCTATAACTGAATGAAAAGCGCGCCAAATAATAATACAACGTGACGTCATTTACGACGTGACGTCATTAAGTTGGTACCCAGTACTGTGCACGCTGGTATTTCACTGAAACAACGTAAGGGGCTTAAATTCAAAACAGTGAAATTATCAAAGTGGTAATTTCACTGTTTCAAACAGTGAAATTACCAGTTTTATATCACTGATATATTTCTATAAACCACCGAAAAGCATGTAATAAACGTTTTTCTGTTATAACGTTTTTGAAATTAACAAATAACAACGCTAAATAAACATAAATACTTTCACCACCACCACCACCACAACAACACAACAACAACAACAACAACAACAACAACAACAAACAACAAATAATAATAATAATAATAATAATAATAATAATAATAATAATAAAATAATAATAATAATAATAATAATAATAATAATAATAATAATAATAATAATAAAATAATAATAATAATTAAGATGATAAAGATAACAATAATAGATAATGAAGAAATATTCAAAATGAAAACGCCTGATAATTTTTGAAAATGTACGTTTTGAATAGAAAACAATACAGTCAAATAATTTAACTAGATCTAACGCATGAACTTTTATTCCCGACGTGCTTACATAACTAGTTATATAGAAACAAGCGTATGTATCACCTGAAGGGACTATTAAACATAATGGTGTAACTTCTTAAGAATAAATACTTCCACATCTGTAGATACATATGATAAATGCAAGAGTTTTCAACAAAACCTGAAGAGATTACTTGCTGCTGAAATTGAAACATTACTATGAAATGTGCACAAATTTATGTCTCTTAATTGACCTATTTTTTATGCAAGATCTCAGTTTTTTTGGAAATTTGTGCCTTGTGAAGTGTTGACCATTGCTGATGAACATTTATTTTTGTTTCTTTTTTTCTCTCATAAAATATAAGTACAAAAGAAGCATTGTTTCTTTACGAGAATCATTCTTGAAGCGATTAAAAACAGAAAAAAACGGGGTTTCTAAAGAATCCCAAAAACGAAGATGTGAAGATGCAGGGTCGGTTTGATTGACACTGTTCATGGACAATAGTAATAGATACAAACTACCGTCCACTCCCCCTAGCACCGACTTAAGCAACATTTATCATTTAATCAACTTTAAATTCTGATGATTTTTGTTCCTTGTTTTTTACTACTGATATCATTTGGTAGTGTGATTAAATTGATAAGATTAGTTTCAAATTGTTTTGAAAAAAAAATGCCGGCTAAGGGTCTTGTTGGTACACCATATAATACACTGACTTATATAAAACTTACAATATTAATTTGCCTCATTACACTGTAAAACTACGATAGAAAAAAAAACACCCAACAAATTGCAGGAAATGAGATGTGAGAAATATTTGAACTTTGTGAAGATTCCTTGCACCTAAAAAAAAGTAGTTCTTCAGCGCCGGCATCTATATCATTTCTTTAACTGTAAGAGACTAGCTATAGATAGGTTTTTATACAGCCAATTATCTCTACGCTGATTTCCTATCTAGAGTTCACACCAGTAGAACGTTAACTTATCTCTCCAATTTAAGGACATTTCGTTTGATTACTATCCCTTTTTCTTAGGGCATTTTCTTTAGTTTCAGTTCATTCTGATAAATACCCGCGTTTTTCAAGATTTTCTCGTCTGCAAAGAAAATACGCCATTAAAATGTTCAATCTCATCTGTATTAAACCTAAAGTTATTGCCTATTTTTGTTTCATTATGTAAACATTATAATCTTTTTAATTGGGCAGTGAAGATTCTCTCAAAATATACAATTTTATGAAGCAATATCAACAAAATACACATTTCATAGACCAATTGCTACTCTAATAGATTGAAAAAGTAAAATTGTAGACTCGTTATATTTATCTTCTTTTGAAGCAAGATTTTTGTAAAAAATAAATAAATACAAACAGATATTCATAACAACGAATTAACAGGCAAAGTTTTTTTCATGAGCAAACTTTTTTATATGTCAAAAACAAAGAAGTCCATAAATCTAACCATTAGCATGCTGGAACCAAAAGTTATTAGCCTTTGTCACTTGTGTGGCGCCCATGTCAGCCTTTAGGTCCGAGCTGATCTGTCCAGCCTCTATACTGTTTGTAGCTAATTTATTATTTTATTTTGAATATTGAAATTCCCTGACACTTTGAAAAGGCTATTCTAAATTAAAGGCATCAGACAGGTTAGGTTAACCTTGAAATCCGATGTCTTTTTAGATTTTTATATGTCTTTCATTTTTAACTTAATTAAAATTACAACTTCATATATATTCATATAGCGACTAATTTGATTAATAAACAAAATGTTTTTAATTTCATCCAATTTTTCAAAAGTTTTCAAACTTACTTTTCGTGTTGTTTTATTTTTATGTTTGAAATAATATTGCGCGGAATGTAAACCGTATTATGGAATAGTTTATCGTCTGCTACATGTACGAAGTTTTCGCGCGGCACACATGTACGATATATTTCCGCACAAATTAGGCATCTATGTGCTGAAAGACAGGACAATAATCAGCTCCTGAAGAGGGCAGAAACAACACATCTGCTCCTTACAGCTATATATCGTCTGCTTTGCACGTCAAACGTTTTTTTGCTGTTGTTGTTTTATTTTTGCTGAAAAAAAGAAAAGAATTGCTCCCATTTGTTTTAAGATTTGTTTGTTATTTAGAGACAAAGTTTGTCGTTTATTTTTGTTGTTTCGTTGATGTTTTGTTTGTTTGTTGGGCAGACATGTATGGTTTGATGTATCGGTGTGTTTACATATTCCATGCCAAACCAACATTATAACCAAGAATGGTTATGCAAAATTTAAGTTATTTCTTTGACTTAGCCGAAAATTAGTAAAAAAAACCAACATACTATTAATTAAGGCAACAATTATTTATTTTAAAGTATATAAAACCCATTTTGTAGTCTTTCTATTATTATAATTATTATTACTATCATCATCATCATCATCATCATCATCATCATCATCACCATCATCATCATCATTAATATTATTATTGTTATTATTATTATTATTTTTATATTTATTATTATTATTATTATTATTATTATTATTATTATTATTATTATTACATTTTTGCATGCTGGCAATATTGAAGTCTAATCATAATATCGTCTGCTTTTTTTATTCTTAATTTAATCAATATTTTCTCGAAATGAAAAAATAAAGAATGAATGGTCAATCAGTTTTGGTTCCTGGCAAGACGCAAAAGCTACTGAAGATAAGAGTTAATGCGTTCATAATGTTATCATGTCTTTTATGCAAGTACATGTATATCTGTCAAATTATTTATAAATGAAAAGTGTTTGAATGATATTGAAAAATAAATTAAATATTAAAAAAGAAATGTTTGTCAAATCAATCAAATTAGGTTTGTTTTAGGACCAACTTTTGATTGATTCCATGTAATGGATGTTTTTCGTGTTGTTGTTGTTGTTTTTCTTATTATAGATTGTTTAGGAGACCACATTTAAATTAAGATGCTACTTTTGTGCGATGTGTTACTTCTTCTTTTATAGATCTTTCAGAAATATTTTATTATTATTTTTATTATTATTATTATTATTGTTGTAAAACGCAGCTAAGCTTAAAAATCGTTGCTTGACAAACGCCCAGTTCCAAAATCTACACATTTGAATCATTTAAAAAAAACAACCAACAAGCAACATCTATTTATTTTTGTCACGAACAGAATACACTAATTGCATACATTCTACTGTCTTTGTAAGCGGTATATTGTTGATGCTGACTAGTTATTAGAACAAAGAATGTGTTGAAGTGTCTATGAATTATACAGGAATTTGATAACATGATATCCGGGTGTTGTTCAGAACGTGACTGCATACATCGGCATGGGCAAACTACTTACGTACACTGTCATTAATGTTGCCCAATACCAATAAAACCCGTACTACAGCCCGTATTATAATCCGTTTTTCTCTTGATTTAGGTGCAGTACATATGTGCGAGTATGGCATAAAAACACGAGTATAAAATGTTAATGTATGTAATTATCTAGCGTATGATTAATATGTTATACTACACTTCAGGACAAAACTTTGTTACACTTAGCGCACTACTTACAAATTATTTTCTTTTAGTCCCTAAACCTGCTGAAATTATGTAATGGATTTGCCCTGCTTTGAACTTGGAACAGTCCATTCAAATTTAAGGGATTTCAATATCAAAATCTTAAAAATTGAGCTGTTAAGATGAAAGAGATTTGTCAAAAGTGGCACGGATCTGCAGGCTGGTCTGACATATAATGGTGACAAAAAGGCTTATCACTTTTGGTAACAGCGGTTACGGGTTCAAGGACATATTGTAGTGTCAAATAAAAAACACAATCTACAAGATCTATATTATAAATTAAATAATTAAAAGTTCATTAAATGAAAACAACAACGATCTTCTTTCGTTTAGCCTGACAAGACTCAGAATTTAAAAAAAATTATCCTAAAATCCCTGGTCATAACAATCGACCTACCCAAATTCAAAACATGAGAAGTCCATTACATGAAATAAGGGATTTATAAGCTCATCCAGTGTGTCGATTAACATATATTACAGTATGATAATTCCTACAATGCACTGAATGCGATGGTAACAACTACGGTACGGTACTATACTCTCAGACGAACCCTTCAAGCGTCTACATGTTTATTACACTTGCTATTAGCGCCCTCTTATTCCCCAATAAACGACCAGATATGACAATAGTATTTCCAGTCTCAGTTCTGTAATAACACTTTGTCATTATTCAATATTACAAGAAAAAAAAGATCATTTGTAATGAATGTTTTTTTCTCTCTCCTTCTTAAAACACAATATGTAGAAGAATAAAATATATGTTTTTATAATAATGCACCGTGCGACTCCATAATTACGAGAGAAAGCTGTCGTACATCTGAGCCGCGTCACGACAAAACCAACGTAATGCGTTTGCGACCAGCATGGATCCAGACCGTCAGGATCCATGCTGTTCGCTTACCAACTCTATTACAAGTAGAGAAACTGATAGCGAACAGCATGGATCCTGATCAGACTGCGCGGATGCATTATGTTGGTTTTGTCATGACACGGCTCATATTTATTTCTCACTAAAATTCTTCGAGTGACTTGTCAATACTCTGCATGGAATTTATTTAACTCATGGCGTTTTCAGTGTAATGTAACTATATGTATTACGATTTTCTTTATATGTATGTATGTATTCGTATTTAACGCGATGACGTCATCATCACTAAGAATAATTCGTAAAATGCTGGTTTTGCCGTTTTCGACGTTTTATCTGGTTTATAATATATTGTGACACAAAACATCTTGATGTTTTGTTATTTCACAAATACTATTCTTTGAAAGTTGCAAAGCTACCTACTCAGCGCTAACTTTTGCAAAGTAATACTGAATCAATTTAGACAAAAAAATCAGACTATAATTTATCATTTCAATAGAGATAATGATGAAAGACATTATTCATTTAATTATTTCAATTATATTTTCATGAATAATGTTGTCATTTTTTTCATTTCTAAAAAGAAATTATAAGATGTGTTTTGGAAATCTAATTAACTCATTTTTTTCTAATTAATTTTGAGATACATAAAATTGAATACAATATTATGAATTTATTAATTTTATTAGGTCTTTAACTCGTATTTGCCAGCGGCAATACTGCCTTGTTGTTGCCATATGCATATAGAATAATACCAGCCTTGACTTCCGTGCTGTTTAACGTGACTTTTTTTACTGTCGTCTGCTTATTTTTTTGCATTTTTAACATGAAATCCCTCATAGTAACAATGGACAGTCTCAAATCCAAAGAAGGACGAGTCCATATTGAAAATAAAGACACAAGAAGGGTTAGCGCAGAATTGTTCATCTATTAGATGAACTTCGTGATCATAAACGGCCTCAGACTGCCAACATATTTCGCCCGATGCAATTCTAATCGCAAGACGTATCATCGTCTTAAATTTCAAAGTAATATTGTTTGCCGAAACATTTGGTAAAAGGTGGCCCGTCCATAGTCCCCCACCGCTTAATTCACCGACAATTATTAGTATTAATTAGATATAAAGATGATAAATAACCGACCCATCACAATGAGTCTTATCTTAATAGGTTACATAATGCACGTGTGCAGTTGCACGCGCTGGGCTACCTGACCTTTAGTTGATAAAAGGCGATAAAACGAAATTGGCGTGAAATTTTATACCCCCGTTGTAATACCGTTTTGATTGCATTACGGATTTGAAACATCTGGTTTTGGTTATCCATGGGGCATCTTGTTAAATAAACATTTTATTTTTACTTGTTTTAAATAATTTCAACATATTCTAAAATTATCATATTTTAAAAGTCTGTATTTTTGTTGTAAATTCCACTTTTCTTGTACGGAATTATAGTAGCGTAGGATACACTTTAAACGCATCTTGTTATTACGTTATAACAAATATATGTTAATTTTGATGCATTGTTTCTCACATATAGTGTTTACAATGCTTTTAAAATACAAGAGTAGAGTTTACAACATTTCTTACACATATAGTTTACATTGTTTCTAACATAGACCAGTTTAGTTTAACATGTTTCTCACACATAAAGTCTAAAAGTTTCTGACACTTAATAGTTAACAACGTTTCTAACACAAATTGTTAATAAGGTTTCAAAACATATATAGTTTACAAGGTTTCTAACATTTATAGTTTACAACATTTCTAACGCATGTTAGTTTACATCGTTTCTAACACATATTGTTAACACTTTTTCATACACATATGACCTTGAGCGTTTCTAATATAAAAGAATGGTTTATATTGTTTTTAAAATAAAGTCTACATTTTTTCCTCACATACATGTATTTACAATTTACATTGTTTCTAACATCTACATATTATCTACTTCCAGGCTACATGGATCACAGTCATCATCATCCTCAACAACAGCAGCAACAACAACAATCACAACAACACACAAACGTCAGCAGTTTGGATTGTTTGTCATTGATTGTAGAAAGTATAAGCCCCACTACAGGCTCTCCGATGATGAGCACAATGGCACCTGGCGAGCGCCCTCTATAGTGTGATTCCCTCATCATGTAATAAGTGGATATATGTTAGTGTGTATTACTATTATACACTAAAAATAAAAACAACACAAAGTTGAAACTCGGATGTTGCTGCAGTGCAAGAAAAAAAAGAAGTTTCAGCGACGCTTTGATTCTCAAGAATCATACTTCCGGTTTTTGTTCAAAAAGAAAACATCAGGATGGAATATTGAACTCTTGAATATGAATTTTGATCCTGACCCTAACCATATCCCGGAATTGTGAAAATAGAAAACGTTTCTCGCAAAGGAGCTACATTTATTGAAATGATACAAAAGAGGACTTTAATAGGTGCGTACTGTCAACGTCTTTTGACAGATGCTGAGTGAATGTTGACTGTGGTATTAAATTACTTACTTAAATTACTTTGAGATGTGTTAGCTACATATATTTATAATAAGTGAACCGTTTTAATGCAAATATAAATAACATGATGTCATTCAACATTGTTATACATGTAACTACAATGGACACATTATGTATATGTATGACATCAACATATGGCGTAATGTTGTACTTGAAACTTTTATATAACCGGAAGTGAGGTTTTATTCCGTTTCCGGTCATCAAATTTATATTTGAAACAGTTCATTGCTGAACAGAGATATTTATTAATGAATCATATAACTTTATGCCAAACTTTAATTTCTTTTTCTTTTTTTTATTTATTTTGTAAATCATGGTAATACAATTAATCGTGATTTAAGAATATTTTAGAACATTTATAGTACATTTTCTACAGCGCGATTTATCTTAAACATGCATATCTTAGAATATGGTTTTTTTAGCATGTGATTATTCTAGACCAATGATTTTCTAGAACATGAATATAGTCTATAACATAATTATTCAGGAATATAATGATTATACATGTATAATGTGAATATTTTAGAACATGATGATTATAGAATATGATTATTCAAGAACATTATTATTCAAGAACTTTTTTTTTTTTCAAGAACATTATTATTCAAGAACATTTTTTTTCAAGCACATTTTTATTGAAGAACATTTTTTTCAAGAACATTATTATTCAAGAACATTATTTTTCAAGAACATTATCATTCAAAAACATTATTATTCAAGAACATTATTATTAAAGAATATTTTTATTCAGGAACATTATTTGTCAAGAACATTATTATTCAAGAACATTATTATTATAGAATAGTATTATTAAATATTTAATTATGCAACAGCTAATAGAAGGCAACTTGCTTGAACATGTTAGGTCACATGACATATTTGGATATGCTAAAAAATCTTTCTGTACGACCAAAATATTATGACTGATAATTTGTTGAGCTATTCATCTTAATGGAGTTTAAAATTCACGCTGTCAGAGAAATGACCCCATTGTTGTAAACGTTATGTAATATGTTTGTGTTCGATTATTGTTTTCTAGAATATCAGAAAACAAACGCAATCTGACATTTCTGGATAAAATGGTACCGATGCAGACGTAAATTATGTTTGTTATTATACATGTCAATATCTCTATCATCAATTGTCATTTCTTATAACATTCTTCTGTTCATGAAGCAGTGAAGCAGTTGATGGGCATAATAAATTCCAGTCTTTATGTAATGTCAGCGGTCAGCGCGAGTACCAGTTGCAAGTTGCAGAAGATGGTCAGGTTGTTTGTGCACGTGTATAACACGTTAGATAATAATACACGTGCTATTATATCCCACTTACTTACACATTATTATTTTCCTTAATATTGTTAAAGGCCAATAAGCCCCAGAAATGCTTTTTATTTACATTTCTTAAAAGCGTTTTAATTTTGGTGTACTGTTATGTCATCCAAAAGTTACTCATTGGTCAATTACGTGAAGCATCTGTTGCTTTTTGGCAATACGTACAGATATACTTATAGTACAGTTTTAGTGAATTCGTATTTTGTATGGAAATTGAAATACTCCTTTGTTAACATTTTGATACTTTTATGACAAATTATTTCACATTTATTGGTACTTTCATCAGGTATTAAGAATCTAACATAATCTGAAACCATTATTTAAACATTATAAAAGTAGTCATTTTTCCCCTTTTTAAAGAAGTAAAATTTTAATTGTTTTTAGGCATAATGTGCCTTTAAGAAATATTATTACTTCTAGTGATGAAATTAATATCTATATTTAAATGTAAAGAGAAGCATCGATGCCAAACGGCAACAGGGGTTTAAGCGGATTGCGCATGCCCGAATAGAATTTTTGTTATGGAACGTTTTACTCTGTTTTCTTAGATAAACAATAAGCGTTTAACAACAGAGACATGTTATTGTTTATACTTTCTCTAGGTATGAGCATATAAGAATATGAAAGAATATGTTCCCAGCGGTTTGTTTTTTTTAAATTTATAAAGTATAGTGTGCATATAATTTTCGCCGATCATAGCTGTAACCCTGGGATTGTATTGTTAAATGCTATGGTGTTTTAGCGTTTTAGCAAATACATAGCGCCACGTTTTTTTCTTCAATATTTGCATTTAAATAACATCGTCAATTGTATTTATTTAGCCAGATTTATCACTGATTTGTTCTGTATATAAATGTTTTAATGTTCAAACTGATATTTTGAAAAATATTTACATTTTGTATATACATATTGTAATATTATTATGTAAACTGTTATTTATGGAAAAAAAGTAAAGCACTAAAATAAATGTTCAGTTGTATATTTTAAATACTTTAATAATTATAAAAAAGGATCTTGCAGGACAGATAAAACTATGCGTTCTGAGAAGAAGAAACAACGTACGTTTAGCAATCATAACTGGAAAATAGTAGAAGTAATGCGCTATGAGCGGTCACATCTGAAAGGTAGAAGAAATAATGGGGTTTGAATGGTACGATGTAAAACACAGAAGAAATAATGTGCTTTTAACGGTACCTTTATAAATAACAGGAGAAATAATATTCTTGGAGATGTCACATGTAAATGACAGAAAAATAATATACTTTAAGCGTCACGCCTGAAATACAGAAGAAATGATTTACTTGGAGTGTAAGAAGGAAACAGTATTGTACTCAATTGTTAGAGCAGTAGCAAGTTCCATGATGAGTTAGTTACTCGTCTGTCCCTGACCTAACCAATCATGCCCCCCCCCCATTATATAGCGTATTGAAAATTCATGGCAAATTCAAAATAAATCATATTCAATATAAATGATTAACTTTCAATAAAACCGAGTTTACAACAGACGCTACGTACATTTACATAGTGACTTAACTTAATGACAATTACATAGAAATGAATAGTGAAATAAATTTAATTTTTATTCGTAATTAAAAAATCAAACTTTTATTATCTTTTGGCAAGTCCTCGGTAAAGTCCCGGTAGGCACAGTTAACTGAAATACTCTTTACGTATATACGTGCATTGCGTAATATAAAATGCAAAAGTTGATGCTGACCGCAGATGGCTCGTGTAAGTTTTATAAAACCGAAATAAACATCATTCTTCGCGGTTCTTATCAAACGCTTCTAGCATATAAGATCTAGGAACCTTCAAAAGCTTTCCACACGGCTTCATATAAATCAGCTGATTAAAAACGAAAGTAGTGGGAATATATCCATCAGATTTGACACCCAGCCGAGATAAATGTTATTCTGTATATCAAAATCTTTGTCCGAATTGATTTACTACGGTGTTCCGAAAGGGCCATCGCGGCACACATGTAACTCGAAACAACGATACCACGAAATTACGAAGGTGAAAATTTGAAATGGTGAAAAGTCGAAGGTACGATTATGAAAAGTCGTAGGTACGATGATGAAAAGTCGTAAGTAAAATGGTGAAATGTCAATATAACGAAAACACGATGGTGAAATTTCGTTGTATTGTTATTTTGAATTTCACCATAGTACTTATGACTTTTCGTCATCGTATTTTCGACTTTTCACCATCGTGGATTCTGAGTAATTTTTGAAGAAATGTTTAAATAAAAAAAAAACGTTATTCACGCCGATTTCTTAACGAATTCCAAAGAAACGAGCAAAGCCATGGATGAAACATGTTCTATTACCATGGTAACTTAGTTCCAATATGGACAACGAATAAAAGTCATGATCAAAAGTATTACACATACTAGAAAAGTATTAAACATTCTATTATGTGATCAAAAATCATTGTCTCAAATCTTTATCCTTAAGAATGGATTTTATTTAGATTAAATGATCAAAAATAAACTCACATTATAAAAGAAGAATATGCTAGCATTAAACAATTTATCTGAATATCACAGCAGAAATAATGAACCTTGAGCTAAAAGATAAATGAAATGTCTAGATATAAAAGATTGCTGCAATAATGCACTCTCAGGGACCATATAAGACAATATTACATCATTGCAACACAGAAAATTAAAATAACACAAGTAAGAAGATGTAAATACTACAAATCGACAACTGTAATAAGTAATGTAGACAATACTACATTATTGCATCACAGAAAATTAAAGTAACACACGTAAGAAGATGTAAATACGGCATATAGACAGCAGAGTTAAGTAACGAAGACAATACTACATCACTGCAACACAGAAAATTAAAACATCACAAGTTAGAAGATGTAGTTACTACATACCGATAGCAGAGGAAAATATTGATTGCAATACTACATTATTGCAACACAGAAAATGAAAAAAAAAAAAAAAAAACAAGTTAGAAGATGTAAATATAACATTATTATGTAAGAAGATTTAAATACTACATATCCACAGATGAGGTAGGTAACGAAGGCAAAACTACACCATTGCAAAACAAGAAATTAAAACAACACAAGTAAAAAGATGTAAATACTTCATATCGACAGCAGAGGTAAGTAATGAAGGCAATACAACATTACTGCAACACAGAAAATTAAAACAACACATGAAATGAGGTTAATGATACATCAGAACTGACGTTGCATATATGTCTCATAGTTGCACCGACTCACCCTACTTATGATTAGAAAATTATGTGGAAAATAGTTTTATATAAAAACCACAGTTTTAAAAAGATGAATTAAACAACCCGTTTTATGTTTCTGTAGCATATTATGGTTATACCTATTTTCAGGGTATATCTGGTGATAGATCTGTCAGACATAGAGTGTTATTGATCAAATTTAATTTTACACAATAAACAAATATATAAATAGATAGATAAATAAATAAAAAATAGATAAATAAATAAATAAATAAATAAATAAATGAGTGAGTGAGTGAATGAATGAATGAATGAATGAATGAATGAATGAATGAATGAATGAATGATATTTGATGCAAAAGTACGTTGTCGCTATAGGAAAGATAAGTAATATTTTATGAATAATGCCAATCAAACAAAAAATCAAGGTTTTGGAAAAACAAACGTAATATCAACAAGTTTACTTATTGATGTAATGATGTGTGTCTGAAAGTAATGCCTGTGGGTCCTCCATAAGATACCGACTGGTAAAGGTAGCCGAATTCAAATCATTTTGCCACTGACGGTGTTGAGTTGGAATCCGGCTATGTATTACATTTATTTCACCTAGTTAACATAAGGTCATTCCTGTCTAAAGTCTTAAATGATATATATGATGGTATTTGGTGTCACACAGCAATAAAGATAACAAATATGACCTAAAATATATGTAGGACATACGCTCCATATCTGTTTCTTTAGTCGTTGTTGTAGCTGATTTGGGGTCGCATCGACATTTTGCATATGGTGACTTTACAGCATCATAGATCTTGCGTGCTCCTCTGTGCATGATTTCCGGCACAAAAGGAGCATGAGCAGATCTACAGGAGGAGAACCACAAATCTGAAAGCTAGATGGACAGCTAGTTGTGTGGTTTCTTTAATGTTAATACACATACACATAAAAATCATATCTTGATGTTTACATTTTGATATTCATATTTTAATATCCACATTTTGATATTTACATTTTAATATTAACATTTTGATATTCATATCAAAACATTTTGATATTCACATTTTGATATTCATACGAAAACATTTTGATATTCACATTTGATATTAATGTCATAACATTTTGATATTCACAATTTGATATTCAAATTTTGATATCCACATTTTGATATTCATATCAAAACATTTTGATATTCATGTTTTGATATTCATATTTTTGATATTCATTTTTTGAATTGAACTGTCTGTGAAACAGTTAATTTTAGATAAGAACATTATTTGGCTGATATAATGAAACAAATCTTGAAATGTCCTTGCATTTTTTTTCCAATATCATTTAATAACGAACACTTAACTTTCAAAGATTTCTAGGGCCAAAACAGCTCGTATAGAAATGATCAAAATGTAAAAGAAAATATATTAAAATACATTATCATACAGAGTTTTTGTTGACATACATGTACATGTTTTTTAATCTACTATAAAGAAAGACTAATCTTGGAGCTATGATGTTGCGTTTCAAAGACGTGTTACGACCTAGTAATCAGGTAATAAATCAATCAACGTGTTCACAAGAATCCCAGTAGAAGCTAGCTGTTTGTTGCGTTTTGAAGAGTGAATTCAAAGAACAAATCGCTTTGATACAAGAGGGAGAAATTGCACATCTACAACCCAGCCCTGCAGGAGACCAATTTCAAATCTAATCAGTGCCGTTAGAATGAAAGATTTCGCGATTATGCGGATTTAACAATTCAAAGAAATATTTAAGTGTGCGAGTAGAGGGGTTTACATTCATTTCCTTTACACACAAACATTTATCTACGATTGAAAGTAGTATAGATTAATTGTTAGATAACATTTGTATATTCGTGTGTTAATTTTTCAGTTTTGCAACCAACTATATAGGTAATGATGTTTTAGTTATTAAAAAAACGTAGTTGATAATATCTTAATAAAGTACCTAATAATGTCTAGCAGTTATTAAACAACATGGTTTATTATTTCATTAAATGCTTTTCAAAAACCTATTTCGTATTTCATATAATATTAATCTATAGTATTCATTAGTCATGAAGGGATATACATGTATTATGTAAAACATGTATAGTAAAACATATATATTATATTATACAGTACCAGTCAAAATAAGTCTCACATGTATACGACAAAGACCATACTCATGATTGTTGCCAATTACCACAGTGTTTTTGTTTAGATATTTAAAGGCCCATTTTGCCTCAGAAATCCTTTTATTTATTTTTCAAAAGCTTTTCAATTTTGGTATACTTTTATAGTATACAAAAAGCAACTCCTTGGCCAATTACCGGAACAATATTTTTACGTTTGGATTTTTTGGCAATAAGTACAGTTATAGTGAATAAGTATTTTGTATGGAAATTATATTAAGGAAACAAGTATTTAACATTCCTCTAAACCCATTATTTAAACCTTATAAAATTCATATTTGCACTTTCTAAAGAATAAAAAAATTATTTGTTTCTAAGGCATGATGTGCTTTTAAATTTGGATTTGGATTAACTAGATTCCATCATATTCAGAGATAAAATTATATGTTCAAGATTGCGTATTGTAATCAAAGGGCTGCAAGCTCTGTGGTATTTTCTGATCTTTGCAATGTAAATCATACTGACTATCTGTATGTATTTTCCTGTATAAGTTTATTTTTATATACAATAATTCATATTACGCAGCGACTGCGTTTAGATTTTTTTCTATAACAGTTTGAGATTGATACATAT